GGGAATTCGTTTCGGATGTTTGAGAATGTTGTGCACGAAGCAATGGACAGATTCGTCCCAAAAGTCACCGTTGAAAAGAGCACAGATCCACCGTGGTACAATAAACAGTTGAAAAACTTGAATAACCGAAGAAGAAAGGCACACGGGCGCTCAAAAATCACAAACGATTTCGCCGATTACATGGCTATCACTGATTCCTTCGTAGCATTACAGGGTCAGCTGTTTCAGTCATACATCAGCCGCATACAATCGGACATTAAATCAAACCCGAAACATTTTTGGAGGTTTGTAAACGACAGGCGCAAACGCAATGACATACCATCGATTATTGAGTACAACAACCATGCAGCCAGTAGTGACACATCGAAAGCGGAGTTATTTGCGGATTTCTTCGAAAGCCAATACACACCGAGTGATGACATTGATTTGGATAACTTGCTAAGTGAATGCGGTGATAATGCGTTTGACATCGAACTGAACGAGGCTGATGTGTTGAAGGCACTGCTTTCGATCAATGTGAACAAAGGAGCTGGCCCTGATGGCATTTCACCGAAATTACTCAAAAATTGCGCGTATTCACTCGCTAAACCGTTATCAAAGTTGTTCAATAAGTCATTACAAGCGGGAATAGTGCCGAGTATGTTGAAAAATTCGAGAATTGTGCCGATTTTTAAATCTGGCAAAAAGAGCATTGCATCGAACTACAGACCTGTTGTCATAATACCAACAATGGCGAAGGTGTTTGAAAGTATTGTGAACAGTAGAATTAAAGCATTTGTGAACGGTAAAATAGTCCATAACCAGCACGGTTTTGTGAATAATCGATCAACATCATCGAATTTGCTGCAAATGGTGAACTACACTATGGACTCAATGATAGCGAAATGTCAAACCGACGATACTGTACACCGACTTTGAGAAGGCATTCGATCGAGTCAACCACAAGAGGCTTCTGCAAAAGCTGGCATGATTCGGATTTGGGCGAAGACTTGTCAAATGGTTCCATACATATTTGACAGCCCGAACACAGTTTGTTGGAATCGCCAACAGAAAGTCAAGAACTTTCACCGTCTCGTCCGGTGTACCAGCTGGAAGTATCTTGGGACCTTGTCTCTTTATTGTTTTTATAAATGACATTGTCGACTTTGTTACTCATGCATTTGTTTTGTTGTTCGCAGATGATTTAAAACTCATTTTGAGAATCACGTCACGGAATGATGCCCGCTTATTCCAAATGGCCATTGACCAACTGCACGAATGGTGTATGCTCAACAAGCTGTACCTTAATCTGAAGAAATGTTTCGTCATGACGTATGCTAAAAACATCACCGTACGAAGATATGAATACACAATAAACAATGGGCAACACATGTTTGGTAGAGTTGAGCTACACAGAGACCTGGGGGTCATTTTTGACGCGAAACTCACATTCGCCAACCACATCGATACAACAGTAGCTAGCGCCTACGGAGCATTAGGTACAGCTGTCACTTTATTAACATATTAATAATTATTAGTATGGTAAATTTTCGGTTATT